CCTAGCAGTGAATTTATTTCAGTTATGCAACAAGGAAACCAAATTAAAGCGCCTATAAAGTGGGAGCAGGAGATAAAGGAACCAGATGTGAAGCTGGAATTAAGACAAACATAAAAAGTAAAACCCCAAACCCACACAACAGTCCGCACAGTGCGGCGGATCGCCTCTCTGTCCCTGCGTGCCAGCCGGAAGGCTCCTGGTTCTCGCCCCACTCCCGCTCTAGCTGCACCCCTGGGAAGGGCGTCTCCCTCTCAGGGCCTCAGTTTCCGTTCCGTGAAATGGGGGATTGCACTGGATCGGTGGTTCTCAGTAGGGGGAGGTTTTGTCCTCCAAAGGAATATCAGGCAGTGCCTGGAGACCTTTTCAGGGTCACACTGGGGAAGGTGCTACTGGCACCTACTGGGTAGACCCCAGAGATGCTGCCCAAGATCCTACAGTGCACAGGACAGGCCTCTACAACAAAGGATTCTCTGTCCAAAATGTCAGGGGTGCCGAGGCTGAGACATGTGCTCTGGATGGTCTTGATGGTTTCCCAGATCTGACCTACATTCGACTGTGAGTTTGGGCCAGCGTTTCCTCACCTCCTGGAAGAGAAGCAAAGCTCTCACGGCCCACCACACTGTGGCTGTGGCCCACTCAACTACGAGGGGGAGAGAAGAAATAAACAACAGGGTCAAAGGCAGGAAACAGTCTCAAGTCCTCAGGGGGAGGCCTGGCAGTAAAAGGCAGATGTGGACTGAGGCCTCCCTTCCTCACGTGAATGAACAGGGCCCCCTCCTGGTGTATGTCGGCATAGCAAGCAATGGGTTGATGGGCGGAAAACCATACAATATTTGAAATAAAAACATGGTGTTGGTGGGATATTTCTCTAATGACCACCTTATGACTTCTCGGGATAAAAGAGGAAATACTAATCAATCATAGCAGAATTTCCTTGAAAAACATAACAGACTTGTAAACAGTTACTTAAGAAAGGCTGACTCAATTTAGATAAGACTCAATATGGAAGAGCCTGCCACAACCAGACCCCTTGTGGACGCCAGATAAATAACAGGTGCAGCATGACCATGCAGAGTGGGGAGGAGAGGTCTTTTCAATCAGTGGTGCTGGGCCAACTTGGCAAGAAATGTGATTGGATTCCTACCTCCCAGGAAACATAAGCATCTAGTCCAGATACATAACACACTTAAAGGCCTATTACGTCTTAAAAGGCTAAACTCTAAAACTTTTAGAAGATAACTTAACTTCATGACTTTACAGTAAGGAAGACTTTTTAAATAAGTCAAAGAGCACCAGCCATACTGGAAAAATAAAATACACTACACCTTAGGAACTTCTGTTCATCTAAAGATAAGCTGCAGGAATATATTTGCAATACATATACCTACAATATATAAATAACAGCCGCAGATCAATAAAAAAAAAAAAGGTAACTCAATAAGAAATAGGTGAAAACATTGAACAGCATTTCACGAAGAGGCTGTCCAAATGGCAATGCCATATGGAAAGAGACTCAGCCTCATTGGTCATCAGGGAAATAAAAACCATAATGAGATACCATGACACATCTACCAGAATGCTTATGAATGCTGAAAAGAGACAAAGTGTTCATGAGGATGCAAAGAATTAAAACTCCAATACCTCGCTGAATGGGGAAATAAATGGGTACAACCATTTTTGTAAAATTGCCTGGCAGTCCTCTACTGAAGCTAAAGATGTGTCCACACATGGACTCAGCCATTGTACTGCCATGTATTTACCTGATACAGATGGGAGTGTATACTCACCCAAAGAAATGTACAAGGATATTCATGACAGCTCCTTTCATAACGGTATCCAACTGCAAATCATTCAAATGTCCATCCCAAGTAAAATGGACAATTCAATTAATCTATGCAGTGAGAATACTGCATATTCTGTATATTACTAGATGTACAGTGGACCTTAATTAAAAGCACTAAGAAAACAAACACCCCACTCCATAGGTGTATGGGGTTCTGTACTAATAATGCACCCTGAATATTAAGAAAATTTACAAGCACTCAAGTTAAAGAAGAAAATATACCTTTGTCTAAGTCATCACTTTTCAATTTATATTCTCTCTATCTAAAAAGTAATGAGATACTAATAAACTGTTAAAAACAAAAAGGCAAGCCACAGAATGAGAAGGTGCTTGCAGAATATACACCAATATGGAGCCCACACCAGAAAGAACTGCAAGACTGTTAGAAAAAGACAGATGACATCAAAGAAAAATGGGCAAGACTTCTCACTTTGTACTTTGCAGTATCTTTCCAGGTTTTCTAAACTATTATATACACTTCTACCTTTTTATATTTACTTTCGGTTCAATAATACTACACGAATATACTGTCCGTGTAAAATATCAGACACTCCAGATAAAAGTAAAGTCCCTATTGACCTTTAATCCTGGTTCCCTCCAATACATAGAGAAAATGACTAAATTATTATGCTTTTTTCCCCTAGTTTTTTTTTTTTTAATGCGGTATTCTTTTGTGGGTTTTAATGTTTTGTTTATTTTACATGTGTGGCATCATACTGATGTGTGTCTTGTCCTGGGACTAGCTTTTCCCCCACTCAATATTATGACTTTTACCTTGTTTTCTGTTGGTATATACAAAGTTACTGTAGTTATTACCTTATTCTTTTTTAAAAAAGAATTTTTTAACTGATTTCAGAGAGGTAGGGAGAGGAAGGGAGAGAAACATCAATGGTGACAATCATTGACTGACTGCCTCCTGCACACCCCACAGTAGGGATTGAGCCTGCAACCTGGCCATGTGCCCTAGCCGGAAATCGAACCATGACTTCCTGGTTCATAGGCCAACGCTCAACCACTGAGCCAATCAGCCGAGCTAGTACCTTATTCTTTTTCATGACTTCAGAGTCCTCCATAGCATGGATGCTCCACAGGTTACATAGCCCTGCCCCCTGGATGGCCATTGAGTCGAACTCCTTCCTCCTTGCCACCCCCCACTTATTTTTGCTCCTAGTCCCCCTGTTTAATGAGAACAATTGATATGTTATTTAAATGTGTATGTAATTCCAGCTTCATAAAGTAAAAAACTCCAGAAAGCTCACGCCTCATTCTAACCTCAGAAAGTGTCATGGCTTTGGGGATTTCCCCAGTTGTCTATGTAGAAAGTGGAGCGCACAGCTTTGGGGAGCCCTGACCTTCGCTATGTGCCTGCCCCCATCCCCAGGACTGGGAATAGTGCTAAAAACCTATGACTTTGTTTTTCTACCTCAGCTGCTGATGTGCTGTGCGACCTTGGGCGAGTGGCTCCCCTCTCTGGTTCCTCACTTCCCCACTTATGAATGGGGGAGGGCGGGGTTGGAACATATCCTCTGTTTGGGGTCTCTCTCAGCTCTGAGGAGTGTCCTGTTGTCTTCAGTGATACATGCAAGTGACCACCAAGGCAGGGATGCCTGAGAAACATTTCCCCTTTCCGTGTAGCCCCGTCCACAGTCTGCCTCTCGGGGTTTGTCAGGAGAAGTGTAATTGATGCTCAGGAGACACCCAGGACCCGAGGCTTCAGGTA